GTCAAACCAGATGAAGTGATGTGGCTGACATCAGGACCAGATGCGATGATCAACTACACCCTACCCTAGCACCGAACAGTCGGTAAAGACAAGACCCTGACCACACCAAGACCCTGACTTTTTTGGTCACTGTGATAAGTGATTTTTCTGCTATATAACCCATCCCCTGGAAGCCATCAGGGAGGCCATATCTCTGAATATTAAAGCACCTGTCTCTGGGTGTGGGCCACGTCCTTAAAAATAAGCCCTTACTTCCTTTGTGGCAAGCTCCTATTCACATCTTACGATGCTTTGATGTGTGCATGCAAGAGGACCCCTTTAGTCTGGTAATATAGAGGGATCTGATCAGATTGCTGGGGAGAACAGGGAAGGGGTCATAGAAGGAGACTGTCCAAGGCAATGGTATACAGTCCAGGGTGGGAGTAGCTAAGAAGCTGAACACTTCCAGAGCACAAGGAGTTATAGACCAGAAAATTTAAAATATCGGCAGAGACTGGCTCTCAGGCTCTCTTCCTCCTTGAAGGTGCCTGGATGATTATGCTGCAGCTGCCTGAATTTCCCAAAGCGTGGTATTTTGGATGGGTTTTGGATGGGAGAAGAAACTTCAAGTACAGCCTGGGTTTGGGCTGGCCTGGCAGAGGTGGCAGGGTTATTATTCTTTGGATGGTCTAGAGGAGATGAGCTCTGAGGCAGAAACCTGTCATTCTTCCAAAATTGTGTAGCTTTTGGATCTTATGTTGTTTTAGTTTATAAACTAATCCCATAGAAATGAGATAATTAAATACTAACAGGGGGTAAATGATAGGAAAACTCAGGTGTTAACGATTTTAGCCTTAATCAATAGCCGTAAGTGATTAAAACTGTAGCTGACTAACGTACATGGGAAGCTATTATCCAAAATTGTGTAGCTTTTGAATAAAAACTCCTTTCTTTATCACCACACCTTTGCCTGTGGAATTTTGCCTAGAGGTTGGCAGTGGGCACCAGGACCCTACTTGCTGTTCAGCCACAGCAACACAGTTGTAAGGTGGGACACCTGTGGAACAGAGGTTCTACTTTGTGCACGGAGCTGCTGAAAATGCTGGAATACTAATCACCGTTCTCCTGGCTCCTACAGTTGTTGTTTTAAGTCAAGCAAGGACACAGGGCTCTGCTGCATCTAAGCCCATTGCTCAGCAACTAGAGCAAGAGTATCACTCGTCCCCTACTGAGCTCTGGCTCAAGATGTGCTCTAGGAGTAGAAACAGACCGAAAAACAGAGAAGTTCCTAATTTCATCCTAAAGAAACTGACTTCATTGGCAACAGACAGTGAAGCAGTTCAAGCCTGAAGGTACTCTTAAGAACCGTGGCAGTTGTTTATAAAGAAAAGCAATTGGTAGGAGATTCAAGAAACAGGCTAAACTATAGGTGGGCCAGCTTTCAGAACCTATTTCAGAAAATAAGACAGGTGAGAAGGGTCAAAACAAAGATTAAATGCTGACCTCAAAAGCTATTCCTTCAAAGCAACTAGAATTTGATTGGATTACTGTGTGCAGTAATTTATGCTCTAGGACATTGTTGAAAATAAAATAGCAATTAGGTGGCAACTAGCTAAGTTTAAAACCTGAGTGTGGGCAAAGAAAGAGAAATTCTTCCCAATGCTACTTTCTTTCCAGAGTGACTATTGGCATAGCCACCCCTACACCAGTGGCTGAACACCGTGTGTGATGAGGGCTGGGGTAGGGGACTGGGGTAGATTTCCCTAAAATAATGTAGTCAGTCACTAACAAACAGAAAGTGCCTGTGAGACCAGATATGTCAGATTTATAAGAATAAAAATTAGAAGTAATTATTGTAAATATGTTCTCAGAAATATAGGAAACCATGATTAATGAAATAAAAATGAACACCGACAAGGTTGAATCAAAGAGTAAATATCAATAAAGAGCAAAGCATTATTTTTAAAAAAACAAATAGAGTTATAGAGTTGAAATTTATAATAACTGAAATTATGCAATCCAAGGAAGAGAAGGAAGCCTCATAAAAACTAGGGACACCATTAAAAACACTAACGTACATGTAACGAGACCACAAGGAGGATAGGACAGAGCAGGGGGGAAAAACTCAAAAAAGAAATGGCTCAAAAATCCTCAGATTTATTGAAATATTATAACCTGCACATCTAAGAAACTCAACAAATTCCACACAGTGGTACCAAACACAGGTCCAGCTGCAACAAAAGCCAAACTGGTAAGACAAGTGCTGGCAAAAATGAAAGGGATTTATTCAAGGGCTGGCCACTTGAGAAGATGTGAGACGCTCGTCCCAAACCCCATCACAAGATCTCAGTGCAGACAGAGATTTTATAAGGAGGGAGAGGGAAAGCAGAAAAAAAGAGGTCAAGGGGAGGGGGATTGAAAAGTCCTCTTCACGCAGACCAGCACAGCCCATTCTGATAAGAATTTGGAAACTGGTCAAGCGATGGTCTGGTGTGCACCATCCTGTATTTATGTCATTCCAGTCTTACAGTTGAAAGTCAGCAAATCTCCCAGAGCTGAGATGACTGAAGGTCAAAATCTGTCTTTTGAAATTGTGCCTAGAATTCTTATACAAATATACCATTTATCTACAAACTACATACTTGTTACAGTCAACAATTATAGAAAGAATGTTAAAAGAATGGTGAGGCAGGTTGCAATTTTTCACTGTTACAACTGGATAAATATAAAGGGACCTACTAACAGATATATCATAAGAAAAACACTGAAAATTAGATATGGACAAAAATCTTGAAAACATTATAAATAAGTCTTCACAAAACTCTTTTTTGCCTTAAAAAAAAACAGGGCTAAGAGTAAAAGTTTTGAATTCACCTAGCACGTGTGGCTCATTTGGTTGAAGCATCATTCCATGACCAAAAAGTTGTGGGTTCATTTCCTGGTCAGGGCACATACCTAGGTTGCAGGGTCAATCCCCAGCCCCCTGTCTAGATCTGGGCACGTAGAATCACTTGCCGGAGTGCATAAGGGCTGAAACCAATCTATGCTTCTTTCTTTAATACATATTTCTCTCTCACTCTTCCTCTCTCTCTTAAAAGCAATGGGAAAAAAGTCCTCAGGTGAAGATAAAATAAATTTTTTAAGTACTCAATTCAATTCTGTATCTGCCACTTAATAACTAGATGAGTTTTATCAATTACCATCTCTAAATCTCAATCTCCTCACCTCAAAAATAAAACTAATATTTCAAACAAACAAAATTTTTCTTAGATGCATGAGGTAGCATGTGGACACCTTTTGAAAAGAAAATATGTGGAATCTAAAAAACAAAATAAATAAACAAGCAGAACACAAACAAACTTGTAGATACAGAGAATATTTTGATGTTTGCCAGACAGAGGTGAGTTAGGAAAATGGGTGAAAAAAGTGAAAGAATTAAGAAGTACAAATTAGTAGTTATGTTGGTGGTGAAATGGCACTAGGTGTTAGACCTCAGCTCAGTAACCTCAACACTTGGGTTCTGGCTAAGAAAGCATTCAGAGCCAAGATGCAACCTGTAAGAAAAAGCTTGTATAGAAAGTCACAGAGGTAGAAAGAACTGAGCCATAGAAGAAATGGGCTGATGAAACAAGTTACAGAGGCAAGAGAAAGGCCCTTGGGGCTTAGGGGGGAGAGAGAGGGAGAGAGAGAGAGAGAGAGAGAGAGAGAGAGAGAGAAATTTACATTCATTGAGAGACCAAAGAGGAAGGAAAGGTGTAGTTAGGAAAAGAGAGGAAGAACACAGCTGAGGTCTCTGTCTTAAGGGCTTCTATCTATAGGTCTCAGGAGAGGATCTCAATACAATATCCATCAGCTTTCCAGGTGTGTTCCTTCAGGGTCCTAGCCTCCACTGACTGGTCGGCAGCAGCATAGGGGATTATTAGTCAATGCAGCTGGTCCTGATGTTAGCTGTGTCATCACTTTGTCTGATTTTGCTGCTTCTCTGGGCCTGGAGCTGAAACACAGCTGAGGCCTAGATGTCTCCAGGGATTAATGCCTTAGGGCGTGGCTGTGCAACAGCTTATAGTTTTGTCCATTGCTAGGCACCTAGGGCTTGCCCTCCTGGTGACCCCTTTGTACCTGGCATATGGTTCCTACTCTGTTCATGCCTATCTAACTAAATACCACAGTTGTAGAATAGTCACAGGGTTATAAAGTACAACATAGGGAATATAGTCAATAATATTGTAATAACTATGTTTGGTATTAGATGGGTACTAGATTTATCAGGGTGATCACTTTAATAAGTTATATATGTTTACTAAGATACATAATATTGTATGTCAAATGTAATTGAAAAATAAAAATGTATTTAAAGAAAAAAGAAATGTTTTAAACAAACAAATGATTTTTTAAAAATTTGAAGTAAAGATATTTTGGAAGCTTGAACTAAACAATTTAGATTATGCTAATTCACTCTTTGCTTCACTACATAAACCCAGCCTAATCCAAACAGCTGGCAGAAATGAAGGAGGCAATTTTTTTGAATTATAAAAGCATTATTCTTTTTTAAAGAGACACAATTTATACATCACTGCAGGCAAAGAAAATACATTAGTGATATTTGAGTAAGCACTAGGTCAATAAGCTCTAAATCAAGCATTTTAGGATTTCTTGAGTATTTTAATATTACCAACACAATTATAAAATATGCCTGGGACTTCTAAGAAGTTGTGCTTATATTCATGTTGATCGATTTCTCTAGAAGAGAAGCATATATCTAATTTTGTAAAGATATTACTTATTTATTTTTAGACAGAGGGGAAGGGAGGGAGAAAGAGAGAGAGAGAAACATCAATGTGAGGTTGCCTCTCTAACACCCTCACTGGTGACCTGGCCGTAAAGTCAGGCACGTGTCCTGACTGGGAATCAAATTGGCACCCCTGTGGTTAGCAGGCTGGCATTCAATCCACTGAGCCACACCAGCAAGGGCCTCTAATTATTTTTATATAAAACTACTGAGAAAAAGAAATCATATTTTTGTGCTCACTTCCACAGAACACAGACTAAAATTGGAATGATGTAAAGATTAGCATGGCCCCTGTGCAAGGATGACATGCAAATTTCTGAAGCACTCCATATATTTTTTAAACTAATAGTACTTTGAATATACTTTATATTGATAATGCTTTGATATTAGTTTGCTACTATCTATATAATCATGACTTATTACCTGTAATATGTATTAATGTATATATTATATTGTTATTATATATATATATATAAATTTGTAAGACTCTTAAGGAAGATATTGATTCATGAAAATAAACTGGATTTTAGTTTTATAGAAATTGGTAGAAGTCATAATTCTGTTTCTGCAAAATAGCCAAATGCTTACAGAAATAGTTTTAATTTTGGTAGAACCAAAGATAGTTTTAATATTCAAAAGTTTCTGAGAACAGGGTACCAAATACCAATGCTTGTGAATAAAAGTAACAGGAGTTTAAACAAGGGTGAGGGGGATAGGACATTTTTTCATATAAAAAGAAATTTGGAGGTAGGTTGTTCCAAGCATTCATGCATTCATTATTGCTTGGAACAACCATAACACTATCATTAAGATTCTATGTTTTTCTCTTTGTCTTCTTTTACAATATCTTTTCCTCGATGGTTGCAATAAGACTTCAGATCCTAGTATGATAACTGATGAAGGCATTCAGAAGCAAGAATGGGGTGGAGTCAGAAGCTGATAAGACTTTTATCTCATTAGTCAAAGGGAGTAAGAAAAATATCCAGACAACTCTCAAGCTGAGTTTTCCTTACATTTCCACCTATTCTAGTAGAAATGGAACCATGGAAAAACTTAGTTGCATCTGAGATTTCAGGGCCCAGCACAAATAACACCCCTTTTTTATTACAAAATATTTTACTACAAAATCATAAGTATGTGATTCTGTAATATAACAATATCACACTCAAGCATACCATATGGCATTTTAGGTGAAATGTTTAAATTAACACTATAAATTATTACACCCATATTATTACCCTACCAACCACACTCAGGCAGGCCTCACTTCTGCTGGACCCTGTATTTAGCTTTATATGTTTGCCTCAATGTTTCAAAATTAGCAACCGAAAAAGATGTTTGGAATAGCTAGTCCATAGATTATCTAACCAACAATATCTGGCAAAAGTACTTACTACTGGGTTATATGTATATAAAATGTGTAAATATAATATATATACATACTTATATATAATTTATATATTCATTTATAAGGAATAAGTTTTAAATATGTCAGCATATGAGATAATTTTGAAGTAAAGTTTTCAATCCATAACTAACTTATGTATGAAACTTCCTTCTGAGTTATTTTTCCAATAATTTAAATAATTGTGTTGCCACAAAAAAAGGTAAAATCTGAATTTGGTACTAGTCTAAAAACATTATGTGACTTAAACTTTTTTCTGTTATAGGATTGTTTAGAAAAAATAATTCCAACTATTGTCCTTAACAAAAAGTTTCTGCTACCAAAAGTATTTATCTTCCTAATGAGTAAATATAATACTTGACAATAGCAATGAATCACCTGTACATCATTATAAATCAGTTAAAACCATAAATCCAGTAACTTAGTGGTTTTTATTGATTTTATTTGCTGATAAATTTGTAGCCTTATTGTGATCTATTTAGTCATAGTCACTGATTCAATATTCAAGTAAAAGTTCATATGAGGTAAATGTTGTTTTATTACTTAACACTTGAAAGTATTTTTAAAAATTGTCACCTTATTAGGAAAAGTAATAGAACAAAGTGATGCAAAAATAAGAAATGCACTTCAATTACCTCTTTAATATTGTTACTGCTAATAGGGATGTTTGGAAGCTTGGTTATTCTTCTTAACTCAGTCTCATTTGAGTGTAGAGTTGTTAAGGCATGAGACTGAATTATGTCCAATAGAAAAGTAAAAACCAACAGATGTGTCTACACAGCATACTAATTTAGTAGTTTGCTCATTTTTTGTTTGTTTTGGTTTTCCTCATATAACTAAGGTATGCATCTTGGTTACCGACCAGTTGGTCATCTCAGTGGTAAATGTAGGCACCACACATCTCAGTTTCATCCTTTATCTCCGATATCACAGATACAATCATCTTTCCAAAGGACACCCACTTAGATGCAATTTTAACAAATTAGAATAAAATTGCTGAGTGTTATTAATATCAGAGCTTTTCTTGATTTTGTTTTTGGACTTTATTTTGAAGACTAAATAAAGATTAAAAATAAGTAACAGGAGCTAAAAGAACCTTGCTGAATAATAAATATAGGGGTGTGGTTTCAACATGAGCTTCAGCAGTTCTCTCCTGTGTTTTAACATCTTACTGTCTGTGTGGTATCTACATACGAGGAGCTTCCACAATTATAAAACCTCTATTTTTGCATTTGCACCATGTGTCCTCTTCCCAAAATTTGGTGTATCAATTTGAAAACAGGCTTATACACACTGTCTATTCTTTAAAGTCATAGGTAACAATATAGTCCATTTGGGTTTGTAGAAGGAAAATAAAAGAGTTTTTCTCTATTTTTCCTGTAAACTTCTTATCTACAATGATTCTTAATATTTCAGAGATGTGACCAGAGACATTGTCCAGCCATTTAGATAGAGTTAAATTCATCAAATCTTTCAACAGTTTGGATGGATACATACTATGGGCCCAGCAAAGGAAATACGCATCCTTCCCATAATCTAAAGAATCCTCTCTGAGCCCAGTGGAGGATTCAGGTAAATGGTAAGCAATAGTCTTTCTGCACTTGAATGATTTAATAAACAAGTATACAAAATAATGTAAACAGAATTATGTCAGCAAAGACAAACAGAAAATTTAGTCTGCCTGTTTGAAAAGGAATAAACTTTACAGATAAAGCGATTTAACTACATGTTTAATGGTGATTAAAATTTTACCAGATTACAAAGGTAATCTGGTAAGACAATTGAGACAGAGAGAACAGCATATGTAAAGGCACAGAGGTATGAAAGTATATGACACTTTCTTGGCCTGATTCTTCACCCCTTCCTATGAACACATGGGCTATAGCCTCATCTTAGGCATCAGATAACTCTCCATTCCTTGGCTAAGGGTCTGATCATTTCACTTGCTTTGATTAATGAAATATGAGATGAAACAATAGTGCTTAGGGATTAAGTAAGAGGCATCATATATTTTTAAGCTCTCATATGATTTGGGAGGTGGGGGAGGCAGAAACAAACCTTCCTTTACCCTCAAAATTCTTCTAGGTAGTCTAATAATCAAATCAACATGAGACAGATTAGCAAGAGAAAACAGCCACAACATATACATGAGCACCCCATATGCATGAGAGAGTCAGGAACCTCACCTGCAGGACAGGTTCAAAGATAGAAAGAGATCATCAGCATATAAGACACCCCAAGGTACAGATGATGTAATGCACCTTGAGGGTTTTGAAGTTATTGCAGGATAGTAACAGATATTTAGTAAATAAAATTTTGCCCTATCCTATAGATAGGTCAAAAGATGTTATCTCTGATAATATCTTATTGTGGGTGAGGCTCCTGATTCAAGTTTTCCTAGGTAGTTAAGGAGAAGGGAAAAAGTTTCTCATGAGCCTGAAGCTACCATTCATTTACTTTGGTTCAGAGTGATCCGCACACCACTGAGAAACATCTTGGGGTAGCTGGTTCTGAAACCCCACATACTTTCAACTTCTCCAGGAGAGCAATGTAACTTGGCTGCCTATTGGCTGGAAGAAGATGGACAGGTGCAGAGCAGGCTCAGGTCTGAAAAAGCTGCAGCCTAGATTAGATGTGCCAAGTCAACCCAGAAATTCATGTGTGAGAAATAAATGTTTATAAGTTAAATAGTTATGTTACTGAAGTTTGAGGTTTTATTTTATACAATAAAATCTTATTACAGCACAAGTAGATATTGGAAAGTACTTTAAAAAAACTACAAAAGGGTCTTTGAATGCCCATACCAAAGTGTTTATGCCTCATTTTTCAGGCAGTGGCAGATTTTTGAAGCAAAGTACTTAAAAAACAATCTAAGTCTAAAAGATTATCCTAACCAAGTAGGAGTGCTTAATTAAATAGGATAGAGACTAGGAATAAATATTGAAAGCAATGCTGTTGAAAGTAGTCAGTAAGAGAGTTTAAAATGACAAACTGAAGCATACTAGTGTGGGGAGACAAGTTTAAAGAAACATAGAAAAAAAAGATTTCCCAGGGAAAACTAATGGCTGTGGTGATAAAAGAAACCAATTGTTCAGTCAGTAATATGGTTGCTGCATTTTTGGTTCTTGGTCAGACATAGTCTGTATTGCTAATGTTCCACTGGACTTACAGCAAGCAGGGGTTAGGTAGAAAGCCAGGAGCCCAACCTTTCAATAACTCAAAGAAATGTTTTGAAAATTAGTAGTTATTAGAATGCAGAAAGACCGTATTTAGTGATAATTTGATCCTCAATTGGAGGGATTTATAAATAAAGGAGAAGTAAGTGATTAGAAAGTGTTATAAAGGGCCAGGAGATTCTCTTTCATATATTTTCTCCAGGGTATTAGAATGTAGGGCAGAATCCTCCATTTCTACAGGGTAGTGAGAACTTCAGATAAAATAAATAGCTAAAGAGCATAAATAATCTAGGAAAAGTTTAAGTGTGTTGAGACATGTATTGACAATATATCTGTTAAATGTTTAAGTGAAATAATTAGATGTTAATTTAGAAGGTGGATGATACTCCATAGCAGTGATTCTCCACCAGGTTGATTTGGCCATCCACGAGACAGTTGGCAATGTCAGGAGAAATTTTTGTTTGGCACAGCCAAGGACAAAGTATAGGGGACATGCTACCAGTATCCAGTGAGTAGAAGCCAGGATACTGACAAAGATTCAACAGTATACAGGGCATTCCCCAACAACAAAAAATTACCTGTCCCAAAATAACAATACCATTTAAATTGAGAAAACTTGGTGTGGAAATTAGTCTGAGGGCTCTGGATGAAAGTCAAGACAAGAAGTGACCTGAGGGCCCTGGCTGGTGTAGCTCAGTGGATTGAGCACAGACCTGCCAACCAGAGAATGGCGGTTCGATTCCCAGTCAGGGCAC